CTATCACCATTTAAAAAAAAAAAATCCCCATTTATGATTGTGGCATTGGATTACACTTTTGTTTACCCATATGCTGTCACCTGCGTCACTCAGGAAAACAGACCCGAGGGTTGTCTGAGCAGGAAACACGAGCATATGTCACCAGGGAGAATTTCTGGGTGAGATTAACTGAAAGGTGATACTCCTAGACATCTATTTTATTTTATATTTTTTAACCAACTGATGTCAGAGTGGCCTTTTCTATCCAAGGTTCAGTCTGCACATGGTGCTCCTGGTGAAATTAAGGAGAGCAGGGGCAGCACATCTAAAAGCACTGAGCTGCCCTGCTCTGTACCAGGAGCCCCAGCGAAGAACACTCTGCAGCTGAGGGGCAGCTGACCACGGAGCTGGTCCCACTGCTGACATCCCCCTGGGCTGTGCAGGCAGTGATAAAACCCCTTCTCCTGGAAGAAGCCATGAAAACTGTAATGACGCAGATTGAAACTGGTGCCAATTTGGAGGTGAAGCATGAAGAGAAACTGTGAGCAGGTTTTATTTTTTTGAAGAACCGTAGGCACAAGTTTGCTGCTGTAGCCTGTGCTCTTCTCCTCACAGGTTTCTTTAATCACTCTGTCTACGAGGAAGAGCCTAATTAGTACATGATACTGTGTTGACCTTCTTACAGGGATCTGGATTTGTTCTCTGTGATTGTGCTTCTCTGCTGCCTTTTCTTGTGTGACTTGCAGTAAAGGGCCCAGTACCCTGTCATCTCTGGGGATGTGGTTTGTGGCAACTGCCCATGGCGACGCTGCTCCGTCTGTCCCAGCCCTGCCACCCATGGCACGGCTGGAGGACCCTGCTGGGGATGGCCCTGGGAGGCTGGGCTGGGTTCCAAGTGCAGCTGTTGGTTCCCTGGGCAGCTTTGTGCTGCTGATGCCACAGGAGTGGGCCAGTGTGCCACTGTGCATCCCAAATGCACCCCCAGCCTCCAGCACAGCGTGTCCGGGGTGCTGGTGCCTTGCAGCTGGTTGGGAGCTCTGTGTTTGGAGTTTTTGGTTCAGTTCCTGGGTGCTCAGCTAATTGTGTCCATCTGTGCTGCCAAGGGCATGTGTGTGTTTCTGCTGCATGCCAAGAGGAGGGTTCTGTGATGTCTCTGTCAAACCAGAGCTGAAGATCGCTGTCCCTCTGGGATGGCTGTTGTTCCTGTGGCTGTGCCCTCAGGAGCCATTCATGTGCCTGTTGCCTGGACAGAGCGTCTGTGAAAACATTTAAAGGACTTTGGATTTGAAAATACATAAATTCTGCTCTGACCTTATGATGAATCTTTCATTTCCCACAAAATTCCAGATTCAAAATACGAATTATCCCCTTGGCTCTCTGCTTCAAGCCTGAAGATCAGCTCAAGGCACAGAAGTCTTTGAAGAGCACGTTCAAAGGCTGCAAGTTAAGCCCTGGTAGCTGCTCATCATAGGATGCCCATCATTAGTGACCCAAGAAGTGATGTTCACGGCTGCAGTGGCTGTTTGTGGTGGGAGTTCCCACTCGGAGCCATTGCAAACTCTTAATTATCGTGTTGTGTAATGATGGAATGGGCTTCAGGAAAGGTCAGCTGCCTCGTGGTTATTTGCAGCCCCAGGATGGGCTCTTGCCTGGTAAGAAGGAGAGTGGTCTCCCCATACCATGAGATGAGGGAGCTGGTTCTCATCAGGTGCTGGGGAGGGCGGGAATGTTGCAGGGAGCAATGCAACTGGAAAGAGCAGGGCTGTGTTCCTGCCTGGCTCTTGCCATGGCTGATCCCATCTGGCTCTGCCACATAACCTGCCAGCTCCTGTCCTGCAGGGCAGTCTCATTGCTAGCACAAAGTGTGGAAAAACTCCCACTGAAATCCTTACCTTTTGTTTAAAAGAAAACCAACCCCCCCCCCCATTGCTGCATTACTGCTGCCCTCATTTATTGCAGCATTTGTGCTCTGGATTGATTATTTATGCTGAGCCTTGCAGCCTGGCTGCTTCTGCTGGAAAGGATTCAATGTGGAGGTGACCTTGTCTTTACTAGCAGGTGAACTGTGTCAAGCTGTCCTTGAGCCACCCTGGGTGTGTAGGAGCTGCCAGAAGGGCAGGTCACTTGGGGTGGCTGGTCAGGATGGTGGACAGGCTCCTCCCCAGGCAGGTCAGCACAACAAACACCACCAGTGAGCACAAGTAGTGGTTGTGTTCACAAGGCTCTCAGGTTTGTGAGCTCAATGGGTTGGAGGAAAAGAATAAAACAGTGAAAACTTTTTTTCCCTTTCTTTCTTTTCTTAATCTCATTACTTCCCAGCAGCTGTTAGCATTGTTTGTCCTAACACAGCAAAATCCCCTTGGAGCTGAGTGACAGCTGAACGCCCTGCAAGCACAGCAAATGGTTTTCTGCCTTGGTATCGGCAGTGCCTTGAACTTGAACCAGATTATTATTGCTGCTTACAGAAATAGAAGGAAACTGCATTTCAAGGTCACTGGCAGAAATGTTTCATTGAGGTCTGTCTCGTTGGTTTAGCAGCTTTGAGAGATGAGAGCAGTTTTGAGTAAGTGTATTCCTGTCCCGTAATGAACAGCAACTGAAAGCCAAAAAAAGAAGAGAAGAAGCCCTGTGTGGCCACGTTTGGGTTTCCAGCAGCCAAAGCATGACTGAGTTCTCAATGCAGCCTTGCCTGGCTGGAGCCTATTTAAATGCAGCCTTGCTGAGCTGGAGCCTATTTTAAAATCTCGAGCAGTGGTGCTGCCTGTTGCCTGGAAACCTCCTCCCAGCCTCGGGCACTTTCAGCCTAATCATAGCCATCGGCAGCCTTTATTTATTTCCCATCCAAAATGTCATCCCAGGCTTCTAGTTTGTGTTTTTGTTTGCTTGTTTTTGTTTATTATTTCAAATGAAAAGACACAAAGTGTAACCATCAAACCGGGTGACTTTCTGTGGGAACGGCTCTCGGCTGTCACCGCATTGCAGTGGTGGGAACTGGCATTTTAAGCTCTATATGGTGGTGGCTCAGAGGGACACGGGGAAGGGGGGGCTGAGGGAATGGGCTGAGAGCCCAAGGAAGCCCCCACGAGCTCTGCTGGTGCCTGCAGTGGCTTCCTGTGCCTTGTGACAGCCTGTTCCCTGAGGGGAAAACCAAACCTGAACAGCTCTGAGTCCCTCCCCAGCACACATGTGTCCCCAGTTCCCCTTCCCTGTGTGACTGCACCATCCCATGGCACATGCACAGCTCAGCACTGGGCTGCCTGGAGCAGCACAGGCTCACTTTTCTCCCAGTGCTCTGGAGTCTGACCTTTAGCATCTCCATGTGCTGACAGATGCATGGAAGAAAGTTAAACGTGAAGATCTCCCTGTCTTAGGGGCCTTTTGTTATTTTTAATTCACCTAAACTCTTGGCACCTTAAAACCTTAATTGCTGCCCTCGGTTGCACAGGGGAACTGTAACTGATTGCAATTTGTGCTTAGTGAGTGTGATCAATCCTGGTGGGATGAAACAGGTTGGATCACAGGAGCCCAGCTATGATTGGGTTGTGTTTCTGTCCAGGGAGTCCCTTAGGAGAGCACTGGGCTGAAATCATCTGAAAATGGGTACCAAATGCTAACCAGGACAGCCAGAAGGTTTGTTTGTGAGGCATAGGAGCTGCTTCAGCTGTTCACAAGTTGTTCTTGTGATTTAAATGGTTTATTTTACAAAGCTGAGAATATTTGTTCTGCCAAAGGCAGAGCTGAAGAAGGCTTTGACTCGAGATGCAGTTGAACAAAGGTTTGTGTTTTGTTTAACAATCTTACTGCAGGCACAGAGCAATAGGCAAGGCTTATCATGTCAGTTCTTTTATTTTCCTCTTGACTTAATTTAAAGTTTGACAGGCAGCTTAGGCTCTTCTCAGGGATGGTCCTGTCTCACAGACTTAGTGCTGAAACGTTAAGTTCCAGTTGTCAGGAACAGACAGAAGAAGCAGAGCTAGGCCAAGGGCAGACATTTTTTCTGTCCCCATCTTCTCTGTGTGCTGGTGATTAAGGAAAACAGTCATTTACCAAAGAAACTGTGGGGGTGAGTGGATGGTGCTCTGAAATCCCTTCTCCTTGCCTCTCCAGGGATGGGTGAGAGTGCCTGAGGGGCTGCAGGGGCTGTGGGCTGGCCCCTGGGTTCAGACAGCCTTGCTTGGTTGTGCAGAGGTGGCAAATCTGTTGATAGATTTGTGCAAATCTAAACTTTCCTGTTTTTAACCACTGGAAACAGAAATTATCCTTCTGTCAGCTCCTTTTTGCTGGATTTTATAGCTGCTGGATTTTATAGCTGCTCTGCTCTGCCTTTCTGTACAGCACAGGTCACAGAGTGGCTGTCTCCTCAGATTTTATTGTCTGAGTTCCTGAGCAAAGCTTCTACAGGTGATCTGGGGGAGGGAGGAGACAGAAGGGAGAACAAAGTGCACACGGAGGAGGCAGGAACAGGAACAGCAGAGGAACGGTGGAAAACCGTGGTCACAGATGGTAAAGCAAGAGGGTTCCTCGCCCTGCCTGCGGGAGCAGCACCCCCTGAGCAAACAGAGCATGCTGTGGTGGCAACAGCAGAGGGAAGAAGATCAGTGCTTGGGGGAAATGCTGAGGCTGTCAAGCTGAATTCAGTGCTGGAAGGTTTCAGAAAATGAAATCAAAAAAGCTGAGGAGAAATGGGTGCTAAAACACGCAGTGGTGGGGTGTCCTTTGCTGATCCCTCCCAGCCGCATGGAGCTGGAGCTCACATTGGTGTTTTCTTTTCTTTGGATCTCGGTAGCTTAGTTCTCCCAGTTCCCTCCAGAGATCAGTGTTGTACACCCTCTCTCCTGTTGTTGGTGGTTGTTTGGGGTTGTGCTGTGGTGTGCCAGCACACAAGCTCTTGAGGGCAGTGCTGGGGTTTGTGTGGGTGGCTGTGCAGTGCCCAGGAGGGTGAGTAATCCTGGTCTTGGGCCTCATCAACCTGATTTGCCATCTCAGTGCAGTTTGCTAATCTGGCTTCTTCTCCCTACCAGAATGAAGAGAAGAGGAACCTTTCCCTGGGGGGCCATGTGGGCTTCGACAGCCTCCCGGATCAGCTGGTCAGCAAGTCTGTCACCCAGGGCTTCAGCTTCAACATCCTCTGTGTGGGTGAGCACAGTCCTCTGCGAGCACACACGGGCTGAGCTTGGGGCCAGGGTTTCTGGTGTCTCCTGCTGTGCCACAAGCCTTGGCAGTGACTTAAGCGAATCAGAAATGCCAGACTCCCTTAAAATCACATTGAGTCAAAGCAGGAGAATTTCCGTAACCAGTGAGGAATTGCTCATCCCCTCCACTGCAGCAGCTTTGCAATAGGAAGGAATTAAGGGAAGACTGTGTATGGCAAGTAAAGTATTTCCATTTGCAAACTGGGGTGGCTGGCACGAGCAGCTCTTGGTGAATGTGATGTCCAGATAGATGCAGTGAGATGCACCATGGATTAGCTGAGAGCTGCTGGTGGTAACTTGGTCATTTCTGAGTGTAAACCTGCACCCCAAATCTGGGAATAAGAGGTTTGTATCTGAGCTGTGCCTGGTCAATGCCTTCCCAGGTGGGTCAGAGGGCTTGAAGCATGGTCACCTCTATGCTAGGAAAGGGAGGGGGAGTGTTCCTGTTCTTACTGATTGTAGTGCATTTATCTGGGAGACTGTGAGTGAGTGCAAGGGGCTGACTTTAAAATAACCTCATTATATTCATGGGTTTTACCTTTGGTATTGATGTGATCTAGCAGGCAATCCTGCCTGGAGTACTAGAGACAAATTGCTTCCAGTGATGAGATGAGCATTATTTTTGATTTGGCTGGTTCTTGTATGGTGGATGGGATCTGAAGTGTGACCTGCTAGACCAGCAAAAATATATCCAGAGACAGCAGCTCCTGTGGCTTTGTGTCGACTGTTCAGTGGCAACCTGACAGCTTTGAGAAGGTGCCTGTGCCATACCCAAGCCACTCTGGCATATCCACACCACAAGTAAAGAGCATGGCTGGAATCACAGTCTTGAACTTCATAGACTTGTTCTTTAGCAGAAGGGTTACTGCAGCAGAGGGCAATATGGTTTTAATCAGTATCATTCTTGGGGATACCAGAATGGATACTCTTACATTCTCATCTGGCCTTTGGGGTTTTTTTGGACAAGAAAGAAAAAGCTCCACCCTGTTTGCCAGTTCCTGCTCCCAACAGTGCCCACAAGTGAAGAGGAGAATGCAGCTGACATCAGTAGTGAATTCTCCATATATCTCCTCTCAGAATAATCTGGAGCACCAGCTGGCATTGTTTTCTTGCACAACTCTCAGCCACAGCTGGTAGGAAGCAGTATGTGCCTCTGCCCTGCTCTGAGCAATGTGAGGTGTTTATCCTCCTGCAAAAGAGCCTGTGGTGCTGGAAGAAGGAAAGAGTCCAAAGCCCTTGGCAGCAGGCATGGCATCTCCCTGGAAAAGAACTTTGCTCCCCTTCCTGCTCTCCCAGCAGGGTATCTGCTGTAGGGCTCCTCAGCAGTGCCTGTCTCTGCTGAAGTGGTAGCAGGATGGACTGCCTGGGAAATGAGCAGGGAGTAGCAGGTTGTCTCCTTGGGTTTTGCCTCTGTTCACTGCTGTGGCCAATGGTTCTGTGTGCAGGGAAGGAGCAGTTTAAATGGGGTCCCTTGTAGGCCAATCTGGAAATGATCAGAGTCTGGTTTTGTTACGAGGACCAGCAGTTCAAAGCCTTTCTGGCTCACAAACAGCTTGTCAGCCAAATATTCTGAGATGTAGCTTTTTGTGATGCATCCCAGGCATCCTTCAATGGCTCCTAAAATTGTGCTCTCCAGAGCTTCTCTAGTGCAGAGTCCCAAGCAAAGTCAGGGAACACGGAGAGGAAAATGGTGTTTTGCTGTGCTCTATGATACTCACTGGGAGATGAGACCCAAGTGCTCTGTGCTGGCTTTGCATTGAGCATGGGAGGCCTTCACGAGGGCAGATCCCGTGTGACAATTACCTGTCTGTCCACGAGCAATTTGTAGCCACCTTTCACAGTATAAATTACTCTGCTCTCTAATTAACGTGCTTTGAGGTACCTGTGACGAACCCATGCTGCAGTGAGCCAATGATTTGTCCTTCCTAGGTGAGACTGGCATTGGGAAATCCACCCTGATGAACACCCTGTTCAACACCACGTTTGAGACTGAGGAGGCGAGTCACTACGAGAGCACGGTGCGGCTGCGGCCCCGCACCTACGACCTGCAGGAGAGCAACGTGCACCTGAAGCTCACCATCGTGGACGCCGTTGGATTCGGGGATCAGATCAATAAAGATGAAAGGCAGGTCTCGTGCCATCTGCTCGGCCTTTCGGGGCTTCCTCTGGTGCTTCCCCACGGGCTGCCCGCGGGTCTGCTCGCAGCACTGCAGAGCTGCTGCTGGTACCGGGGCAGTGCTGGCTCTGGGTCTGGGGGCTGGACGTAGACAGGATTGGGTGAAGAGCCAAAAAGAGAGGTCATAGGAGGTCTTTCCAGCAGGGAATGGTGTCTTCCAGCAGTGTGAGCAGTTAACAGGCTGTCCTCAGTGCAGGGTCAGGAATTATCTGTTGTGGCAGTGCTTGGCGTTTCTGGACTTGTCTCATTTAATTACACAAATGTCTTGTTCAAGCCCCAGGTAAAGGCTTCTGGGACTCCAAGGTCTCTCCTTGTCATGTTGCATTGCTAAGCCAGATGGCTCAGCCCTGAGATGTGGGCAGAGTTTGGTCTGGGCAAGTAGTCATCTTTCCATGCCCCACTGTCCTTAGACTTTGCAGTGCAGCCTCAGGAATCTCCAGCAACCTTTGGATTATGAGGTCTGTGTGTAAACACCACACATTTCCTGTTGAAAGGCTAAATTGTTTGAGTCTCGTAACTCCACTTTAAGTGACACCATGGAATGTCCAGGAGAACTCCTGAAGCCCTTAAGCTGTTGCAGTCTCTGGTTGCTAATGGGCTGGTTTTAGTTACAGGCCGATCGTAGAGTACATTGATACGCAGTTTGAAAACTATTTGCAAGAAGAGCTGAAGATCCGCCGGTCCCTCTTCAACTACCACGACACGAGGATCCACGTCTGCCTGTACTTCATCACCCCCACGGGGCACTCGCTCAAGTCCTTGGACCTGGTGACAATGAAGAAGCTGGATAGCAAGGTAAGGCAGTGGAGACCACAGACTCTCTTTCTGGAATGCTTCTGTTGGTCCTGATTGTCACGTGGAAGGTTTTGTTCCTTTCATGTGAGTGCTGGGCTCCTGCATGGCAGCTGGGCCATTTTTAGGACTCTGGTAAAGCTTTGTCTGCTGGTGGTTGCTGAGGTCCTGTGCTTGTTTTCTCATAGACTTTTCTGAAGAATGTCAGGAAAAACCTGTTTTCAGGTTGGTTGTGGAAATTCTAGAGCGTCCCTCTCTGTAAGAATCTTACCCAGATTAGTTGGTATTTATAAAGCCATCAACTGCAGCTTTATCAGCTGTGCAGGTGAGGAAGCCTTCCAGCTCCAGCAACTGAACTGTGGAAACTGGAGCCACCTTTGCTGTCCTGACCTGTCAGCAGGGACAGAGGGGCTGGGAGCCACCAAAACTGAAGATGTCCTAAGGTCAGTGCTGAGGAGACAAGGGCTGAGGAGAAGATTTGTGTGTGTTGGTGCACAGGGAGTGTGTGACCTGTCACTGCTGACAGTGCCAGCTGATAGGAGATCACAGTGTCTTCTGAAAGTGTAAATAGGGTGAGGATTCTCAAGGTCATGGGAATCCTAAAAGTGGGTCATGAGAGGGTCTAGCTGGGGGTTGTTTCTTTGTGCATAAGCTGTTCTGCCTTGCGGGGCAGTGGCTATTTAACTGGCTACTTGCTGATGTTCCTGCAGCTCAGAGCAAGTTTCTGACACACTTTTGGGTGTTCCAGCTGGTTTCTAGGGAGCTGCAGGAGGCTTCAAAGGTCACTGGTGGCAGCAGCATCTCTTGTTTTCTTCTCAAGAGTTTCCTGTCTTTCAGAGCAGTGTTTTGGCAGCAAGGTGGTTCCTTTCAGGTGGCAGGTGCTGATCACCCTACAGAGGTCAGGCAGGGCAGGACCCTGGATTGCACAGAGGGAGCACTCTCTTCTCTGGCTTCTGTTCATGTGCAGCTCTGTTGGACTTTCCTGGCAGGCAGAGTTCCCCCTGCTACAGTCCCTGCTCCTTGCCCTCCCTGCCTGGGGCTCAGGCCTGCTTTTCCTTGGCCCCAGCCCAGAGCAGGCACTGGCTTCTCATTGCAGTGGGCTGTTTGTAACTGTAGTGCCTGTTACACTGACTTCATCAGGAATCTGAAAACTTTCCCTTAATAAACTCTTGTCTCTTGGTGCAGTGCCAGCATTACATGTTCCCAGAAATATGTTTGGAGGAAAGCTTTTGCACGATTCCCCTTGGTGCTGGTGGTCCCACAAAGCATTTCTCTTCTTTTCCTTCTTTTTCCCTACTTTTCACATCTCCCTGTGGCTGCCTTTAATGTGGTCCTTGGGTAGCACCAAAATAAATCCTTTGTACTTGTGCAGAGATGAAAACTTTGTGCACACGCAAGCTTTTTATGTTTCTAAACTTCCACTTAAATAGACCTCTCTGGAGTCATTTTATCCCTTCTTGCCACGGCATGAGAACATCCTGGGTTTCCTGCTGTGGTGGCCTTGCACAGGCGGGCATGTGGAAGTGAATGAGCAAGTAGAGCCCATTGATATTTTTGGGATTTATGTTGCATTTCTGCACCAGTGTCATCCCAGGTCACTGGGGTGCTTTCCAGGCACTCCCTAAAGGCTTGTGCATGGCAGCCCCGTGCCCCTTCCCCCCTGCACTCCCCAGTGGTGCTGGGGCAGTGTGGGCAGGGGGTGCCAGCAGCCCCTAGGCAGTTCTGTCCCCTCTGGGTGGTGACAGTGAGTGGTGGCTGTGGCTGAGCAGAGGGGACATGCCCTGCTGGGCGAGCACTCCTGACCCTGGGCCTGCCTCTCGGGCAGCTTCACGTGGCTGGTAGCCCCTGTTCTACAGCTGAAGAGCAGAGCCCATGGAGGTGAAAGGTGGATCAGAGGCAATGGTTTGCCTGTGCTCTGCTGACTCAGCCTCTGAGCCTGGTTTAACAGAGAGTTTGGAGGGCCCTGGCTCGGTTCCACCTTTGCTTTAGCCCACCAGTGGCATGGCATCAGGTGCTGGGCAGGCTCTTGAATCTGTGTGATGATTTCAATAACAAATCTTACTTTTAGTGTAAAATTTACAAAACCCCTTCCGGGTAAAGCTGTTTTGTAAACAAAATCTTCCATTGTACTGTAAAACAATATCTGTTCGGCTGAGCTCATGGCCAGCTGTTGTTTGGGATATTTAGTTACAGGCAGAGAGCAGAAGTATCTTCGAAGTGGTTGTAGGTAGATGGGATGTGCCTGGCTGGCTGCAGAGTGCCCAGCCCAGCTCCCTGGCAGTGCCTGTCCCCTGGCAGATCCCACTCCAGAGCGGGGGGCACGTGAGCCCTGAGCTGACCCTTTTTCTGCAGGAGATTGGCTCCTGCTCAGCCCTCAGCAGGCCAGCGAGGGACCCAGCTGTGGCCATGGCCCTGTTACCCTTGTGAGGAGGACATCGACCTGCTGAGCAGTGCAGTGAGCAGCAGGCCTTGTTCTGGGGGGCCTGTGGTCCTTGGTAAAAGAGGCCAGGTCAGTGGCTGAGAAAAAGGAATTTAGTCTCTCAGATAAATTTGCAGTGAGCAAATTGAGACTGTCTTCATTTGTAGCAAGTAAATGCTCTTGTGTTTCTGAGTGCTAAAGCAGAGCCGGGGGTGGGGAACCCGAGGAGAATGGAAAAAACACTGAGCTACAAAGAGAACTTGAGCTGGGAAAGTGAGGCTGTTTATTTTAATGGGCACCCACTGGAGACCAGCTGGCTGCTATGAATTTCAGCTCTGTAGGACAAAAAGCGTTGGCTGTCGGGAAATGTTAGATGGCAAATCAGACTTTCCCCTTATTTGTCTGAATTCTTGTGTTTTACTGCTCTGAATTTGGCTGCTGTTCAGACAGAGGAGTTCTGTTGTTGTTTGTTTAGCAGGGGTTTGCAGTATCACACTTGGCTTTTCTGGGCACAGCAGCATTGTCTAACAGAGGTTCCTGTGACAGGTCCTGCCCTGCTGTAGCTCTCTCAAGCACGAGGCCACAGTGAGCCCCATCCCACCTGAAGGATGTGGAATGTGGCCCTCATTTACTCTTGATCGTGGTGGGTACTGGGGACAGGGGGACCTCCCCACCCTGCAGCTTGTGGGTGGCTTTGAAGCCTGTGCTGATGAAGCTGTGTGGGGTATGGAGACTGCTGCCTGATGTGAAACCAAAGCTGAGCAAGAGCAGCATGAAAGCAGATCTCCAATCTGCTGTGTGGCACTCTGCACCTCCCCTGAGTGGTCCATGTAACCCACACAGCGTGCCCGAGGTGTGATTCTCTCCCAGAGGCTCAGGGAGTCCCTGGGGAGGATCCACAGGTACTGCCAGAAACCTGAGGAGTCCCTGCTCTCTCTGCTTGAGCACGGGCAGGCTCCATCAGCTCAGTGCAGCGTTTCAGCCTTGTGCTTGTCTGCTAAAGGGGCCTGTCAGCACAGCCAGAGTGGAGGGGTGACAGCAGGAATGTGACAGTTCCCCTGTCTCTGATGTGTGCAACACGATACATGGGCAGAGCAGAGCTTTGATCTGCTCTTGTGCACTTAGCAGGGTGGGTGGTTTGTCTGAAGCCTTGTAGCCTGATCGTGCTGGAAAACTCTTCCCTCTAGTGTTCAGCTGGGCTGGGCTGCAGCTCCTGAGCAAACACAGCCCCGCGGTGGTTTTGGGAAGTGTAAATGTAAAGCAGCCAGTGGGGCAGGACCCGGGTCACCCCGACACGGCTGCTCACCTGGGGGTGTGTCCTTCCTCCCTCCCTGCTCAGGTGAACATCATCCCCATCATTGCCAAGGCAGACACCATCTCCAAGAGCGAGCTGCACAAGTTCAAGATCAAGATCATGAGCGAGCTGGTGAGCAATGGAGTGCAGATTTACCAGTTCCCCACGGACGATGAGGCAGTGGCTGAGATCAACTCTGTGATGAATGTGAGTGATGCTGCCAAGAGCTGGGACAAATTAAATTGCTGCACAAAGATGCATTTGAAGGGCAAGTGTCTTTGGGAGTGTCCAGACACTGAATCTGTTGGAAAGTCGAGCTGTGGGTCTGACAGATGCCGAAGGCTGTTGCATACAGAATTAATTAAAATGTGGCTCATGTTTAATCTGAGGCTCTCTGGAGAAACTCCAGAGAATTTGTTTTACTGAATTTTTGAAAAATACTTTCTTCAAAATCCGTTCTGTCTGCTCTTAGGCTACTTTACGTTTGAGGAAGGAGAAGGTTTGAATAAAAATTCGGCAGTTAAGATTTTATATTAGCCTTCTGACTTAAGGAGACTAAGCAGAGAAAACCCAATTTAAAGTAAAGAAGAAAAATTGTTAGTTTCTATTTTGTCTTTTTTGAAATTCAAAGATCAAATTCAGACCTGGCTGAAGCACATGCAAAACACTTTCAAGCTTCCTGTCTCCCAAATTAGAGTGCAGCTATTGCAGTAGAAACAGCTGAAATGTTTCCATGTTAATTTTATAAATCAAAAGCATCTTTTTATCAAAATGAACCTTTTCCTGCATAGCTGTTTCTGATTAAATGCTTTGTCTTTTCTTTCACCCTCCTCCCCCCTTTTTTTCCTTTTTTTTTAAATTCGGTAATTTCTGGGTCATCTAGATATATATTTTCACTGTAATAGTTCTTTTTTTGCTGAATTCATAGAAAATTTGGAGGATTCACTCTTTTTTAATAATTGCAAGCTGTATACATTGGAGAGAAAAGCTGGTGTCATGCTTGCTTGGCTTTTTTTTTTTTTCCTTCCTTTCCCCAGTGAAAATATTTTTGGCCACTTCTCTCCCAGTTCCACCCTTTTGGATCCATTTCTTCTTCATTGTGAAGGGTTCTGTCAGCCTTGCCCTGCCCAAGCACCCACTCCATGGCTCTTCCCTGCAATCCCAGGGATGATGCCCTGTTTCCTCACTGTGCCTGGTGCTTTGCAGAGCTGGAGAGCAGCAGGCACACACTGTGTGCTGCACACGTCCCTTGCAGTGCCCACACACCCCGAGCTGTGCCAAGGCCCGTGTGTGGATGTCCTTGGCTGTGCTTTCAGCGGGGCAGGGAGTGCCCCACGCCTGGCACGTGCGAGAGCAGCCTGAGAGATGGAGAGAGGAGAGCAGGAGTGACCATGGTGTTCCTACAACATTTCCCCAGCCAGCACTGCTGGTGAGCTGTGCTGTGGCCCCACACTGCTCCTGGTGTGACATCCCAGGTCATGGCAGCGACTGCTCCGAGGGTCAGGGATCGGGAGGTTCGGAGAGAGGATCATGGAAGCACATCCTGTGCCTGGGGGAGGGGGGTCTCAGGGTCAGGCTGATCTCTGGGGGGTTGCCCCATGCTCTGAGTCCCTGCCTTGGCTCTGTTTCAGGCTCATCTGCCCTTTGCCGTGGTGGGGAGCACGGAGGAGGTGAAGGTTGGGAACAAGCTGGTGCGGGCTCGGCAGTACCCGTGGGGAGTGGTGCAAGGTGAGGGTGCCCACCCCAACCCCATGTGCTCACACACCCCACCCCAGCCCTGGCCATGCCAGCCCCTCTGCTCAACAGTACAGATTCATCCTGTGCAGCCTTCTGAAGGTTGGACAATCTTTCCTTTGAATTCCCATTCCTACCAGCAGGTAGGAAGGTCAGTGGGAATCCCTCCAGCCAAGGGGCTGTGTTGTGCCCCAGCAGAATTCCTTGGGATGGGAGAGTCAATCTGTGTATACCTTTGTGCTCCCCCACCGTGCCTGCAGTTTGCTGACTTGTCCCCTCGCTTCCCTCAGTGGAGAATGAGAGTCACTGTGACTTTGTGAAGCTGCGGGAGATGCTGATTCGGGTGAACATGGAGGATCTGCGGGAGCAGACCCACACCCGCCACTACGAGCTGTACAGGAGGTGCAAACTGGAGGAGATGGGCTTCAAGGACACAGACCCAGACAGCCAGCCCTTCAGGTGAGAGGCCTTCACATCTAGCATCAATTTAGAGCCATAGTTCGGTACTGACAGCCCCAAAAAGTGGGAGCTTTGTCGGGGGTATCCACGGTGCAGGGCTGGAAAATAGTAGCACTGGGTTTGAACTTTGCAGCTGACTTGGATGTTCCCTTCCCTGACTGTCTTATAGCAACATAGACAGGCATGCATTTCCCCATCCCTCACTCATCGGTGTCCAAAGAGTCTGGATTTCATTTGCTTTCTTCCCCAGCCTCCAAGAAACGTACGAGACCAAAAGGAAAGAGTTCTTGGGCGAGCTCCAGAGGAAAGAGGAAGAAATGAGACAAATGTTTGTTAACAAAGTCAAGGAGACAGAGGCAGAGCTGAAGGAGAAGGAGAGAGAGGTGGGTGTGCCAGAAAACTGTGAGGAGCCCAGAACACAGCCAGCAGGGAATCTGGGTCTGGGCAGTGTCTGGGTCCTGGAAGCACATGCAGCTGTTGAGGAGACTCCTCAGCCGAGGCACAAACACACACATGTATCCCTGGTTTAGGTCCCTCAGAAACCTCTTCCCTGCCCTGTGCCATGTGCAGGAAGCTTGGCTGCTGTCTGGTGAGAGAAAGGCAGTGGCAGATGCTTAGGGGAGCGTCCATGTCAGGGAGACTTCCCCCCTGAGCCCTCTGGACAGCAGAGTAAAGGGGCAGCTGGGACTGGGGAAGAATTAACTGGGCCATCCTCAGAACCAGAGAGGAACAGCAGAGGCCACAGTGTCACCAGCCCCGTGCAGGGCTGCAGGTGAGCCAGGATCTTCAGTGCACCTTCCAGGGTTCACACTTCCTCCTGCTTTGGTGTGGGGCACCAGGTAGAGCTGAATTTACTGTGTCTTCCCTGCCTTTGGTGGGTGCTGGGTGCCAGACCCTGCCAGCACCCTGGGGGCGAGGGGTTCATGTGGGAGGTGTGACAGGGGCTCTGGGGCAGGGGAGCACAGCCCAGTGTCTGCTGGAGGAGGTGCTGAGAGGGTCTGTCTCCTGCCAGCTGCATGAGAAATTTGAGCACTTGAAAAGGATACACCAGGAAGAGAAAAGGAAGGTGGAGGAGAAGAGGAGGGAGCTGGAGGACGAGATGAATGCCTTCAACAGGCGGAAAGTGGCGGTGGAAACCTTGCAGTCCCAATCCTTGCAGGCTACCTCACAGCAGCCACTGAAGAAGGACAAAGACAAGAAAAAGTAAGTGTCTGAACTGGAGTCTGCCACTGGGAAGCTGGAGGTCTGCTCAGATGCTTTGATGTTTGGTCAATTGCTTGGACAGCACATGGAAAAGGGGATTTTGGAATCCTAATTCCCACCCTTCTGACTCTTTGCTTAAAGCAGAGGAGAGACAGGGCCCTCCTGTGCCCCAGCATTGCCCAGAAGAAGCCTGGGCAGCTGCAGGTGGGAGGGGTTTGCAATTTGTGGCCATTGTCAGAAGGCCAGTGGTTCTGTGGATTCACTCTTGCCTCTGGGACAGCCAGCTCAGGCGGTCCTGCAAGCTGTCTGCTCCTGGAGACAAGTGGGAAGGGGACTGGAAATAATCTGCATCTTCTGCCCAGCAGAGAGGAGTGGGGACAACCCTGACACAGCTGTAATGTCTCCTGCATGCAGTCCCCATCACTCACTGCCTTGCTGCAGGCCGTGGGCTCTCTTCAGAGAGTGTGCTTACTTTATTTTTAGAGGCAGAGCTGTAAAGAAGGAAACAGCAGCTTAGAGTAAAGATGCTTTGGCAATTCATTAGTGCTTCATGTGAAATGGGGCTCCAAGACACAGTTCTGATTACAAGAAAATTCATTTCCCCTAAAGACAGAACCCTTATCTTAGCTTGCTGCAAGTTAATTGGCATTGCTGAAGCCAGCAGGAGTGAGGGCATGTAAATAATGCTGCTCAGCCACCTGGTTGTGTAATGACAGAGCAGGAGGAGGACAGATTTTAAAAGAAAAGATGGAGGATGTGATCCTGCTTCCGTTCAAGCCAGTCTCTGAGGAACACTGGTCAGGGAGCAAAATGAGATACACCATCATGCAAGCTGGTAATTCTGCTATTCCAGCACTTTTTGTTACTTCCCCTTGCATGAAGGAGCTCAAGAGCCTGAACTGCATTCTGTCAAACCCAGAACAGACCGGTGATAAGGCTTTTTGAGCCTCTTAATGATAGCAAGAGAAAAAAACACCATAGAGAGTAGCAACACCTGAGTTTGTGCTTGACAGCACAGCGTTTGGCTTCACGTTGCTGATGAGATCTTGTGCTCTGTCATTTCCCTGCTGTGAACTGCAGCACCAGAGGAGCTCCTTCTGTGTACTGACATCCTAGTAATTTGTTTCTGCCTGTGTTAGATAACAGGGTAGATTATTTAAGTGTTTCCTTGGAGTGTAAATGTGTTAAAACCAAAGCGCTCTCCTCTGCAGACCTCTCGACATGCTCTGGGCATGGCCCACCTCACAGAGTCCAGATGGTTTGTCAAATAGTTTGCTGAAAATAGGGTTTAGTCCAGCTAAGCTCACTTGTGAGTTAGAGGCTGACTCCTGGGGCCCAGGGCTGCCCTGGGGAAGGTGAACCACACACTGTCACTGTGGTGGGCATGGACTGTGCAGGTGAGCCAGGAAACGCTGCAGCTCCCCCTCAGCTCCCTCTGGCTGCAGCAGAAATGGGTTTCCTGTGCTTTGCTGGGTTTAGCCCTCCTGGAGATGTGAGTCTGGACCCTTCCTCTGCTGGGTGGTGGTTGGATACCAGCCATGGTCAGGAGGAGGCAGCTCCGGGGGTGCAAAGGTGCGAGGGGCACCCACAGCATGTGCTCTGCACAGGGGGGACCCTGCACAGTGCTGGGGCTCTGCAGCTGGAGGAGGTGCAGCATGGCCAGGATGGCTTTGCATTGGGGTTTTTTTGCATACCTGTGAGCTAGTGTGTTTTTTGGGGATTTCTGCTCAAGTTAAATAACAAAGTTTGTAATAAAACTTTCAAAGGAAGGTGCCTCCCCTTGGCTTTGCCACTGGTATGACTTCCCAGGCCCCCTCTTCATCTGGGATATCTTTGCCAGGTTTCTTACCAGGATCAGTCCACCCAATCAGACTGGAAGTAGCTGGGATTGTTGAGCTGGTGGCTGGCAGTGCTCTCCCCCAGCACCAGCAGCCAAACTTCCCCCCCCAAGCCCATGGTTGGGGCTGTGCCCACGGCTTTGGGCAGAGAGGGGAGGGGAGGGGACCCAGAGAGATCCTTGGGGGGCATCACTGCCAGGAGAGCCCCCGGGGGTGGGATGGGAATGGAGGTTTGGGAGTTTGGGGGCAACATGTGGGGACTTCACAGGAACTGGGAATGTGTTGTGAGACTGCAGGAGGGGTGTTTTTCCTTGCTTCTAGATTTAGGAGAGCTAATTGAACCCTCTGTCATCTCCTGGTTCAAGACAGTGGTTTTGGCAGCTTCAATACCTGAAAGGTGGTGATGGAAGGATTGCAGGTGCTGGGGGAAAGCAGAGTGTTTGTGCTGTGCAGAGGGCCTTGGGGGGGTGCTCTCATCTGAAGCCTTCAGCTGCCCCAGCAGTGTTTGTCCTCCTCCTCCCTTGGTTTTAACATATTTTGCTACATTTTGCTTTTGTTTAATTTTCATAACTTTAATTCATGCTTTTTTTTTATGTTTTGTTTCTTTCAGTTAATCACACACAGACTTTCAGGCCAAGAGTGGACTTGGTGCTTTCATGTGTTAAGTTGCTTGAGTTTCCCACCCTGTGACCCTTCTCATAACACTGTGTGCGTGGACCAAAGTGACAGTGAGCGTCTCCGGTGGTGGCAGTGACCCTCTGTCACCTGTGCAGAGTTATCAGGAGGTTTGCAGGAACTGACCTAACCTGTACATTTTATTAAACAAAGCCAGCTAATCCCTCCAGTTAAGATGTTTTGTTCCAAACCCAGCGACTGAGCAGCCGAGTATGAACGGACCGTAACTGTCTGAACTCATCTTACCCACCAGCTGATAATTGCTTTCTACATTTAGTTTTTTTAATTGGCTAAGGTGACTGCTCATTGACCTTCCCCAGTACATGCACAGTGAGAGGAGTGGTATGAAAAATGCTGAAATGTTTATTTTTCTAACAAAATTCTCGAATAAATTTTTTAATGGATAGAAAACCACAATGCTTAGGCTTCCTGCCCTGGGAATCTTAGAGTAACCCTCATTCCAGTAATTCTGTATTTAATCCTGAATTACTCTAAACACTTTCTACATCATTTATAATATATATATATATATATATAAGGAGAGAGAGAGAGAGAGTGGTTAATAAAATTCATGGGACAATGTTTTGAATTTTCTTTACTGCTAAAATAGAACATTTATAGAGAAAGGTTTTCATAAGAGTTTGTTGTATAATGTGGAACTACAGGATTTGTGTAACTTTTCAGTTGTCACTTACCAGTGTATTTACTGTTGTGGAAACTATTTAAGCCATCTTTACTTTTACTCTTTAACCTTAAACTTGCAATGTGCCTAATAAGGAGAACCCCTGCTCCTGAGCTGTGCTCTGTGTTTATGCTGACAGGCTCTGTTCTTCTTAGAAGGGGCTTCCTTTGACACTCCTCATGCCTAGAAATCACAGCCTTGTTTTCCTGGGCAACTGAGCTTAGAGGAATAATTAGGATCAATATTAATTTTTTCCACTCAAACCATTTTGTGACTGGGCAGGACAATAACTGAACAGAGTTACTAGCTATGTTGTCATGGAAAAATAGCTGGACCCAATTCCATCCATCCATCAGATCCCAGGCTAAACAAAAGGAAATATTTTATATTAACCCTCACATAGTGTCTTTAGAGTTTATAAAAACACTGGCTGGCTAAGTGTTAGTTGTGAGTGTGTGTGTTTTTATTTAGTTATTAATGTTGCAGGATTTTTCTGATGTGGTTTTTACTGCAGACTTGTCTTTGGGCTGTCAGCAAACTCCTGCCGTGCCGTGCAGAGGGAGGGGCAGGGCCTGGGCCCCACTGTCCAGGGGCTTTGCTGCACTCTGAGGTTCTTTACCTCGCATATCCCATTAAAGCAGCTTGTTTTTCCTTTCTGAATACATGCTCAGGTGTTAAACTGTTTTCCTATGGACACTGGCCTTTCCCATGGATATCCTGACAGTCCTGTCAGTGTTACTTGATGCTCGTAGGAAAGAACCTCACCAGGACCTCACGGTACCTTTTAGAACAGGCTGTTCTTCAAAGAGTAAAAATTCTGCACTTGTTGGGAGTCTGCTGAAAGCTGAACATTTAATTATTAAGGCTGTGCCTCCAGGTTAGATGTGTTTTAAACAGTAACTGTCGAACGTTGGGAGGGTTAGTGTGGTTTTCTCAAACCCAGACAAGGAACCCAACCCTCTGTTTCGTGCAAGAAGACAATTCCACCTCACCTCTGACTGCAGTCCAATCATGTAGCAAATGATTTGTTATTGATTTTTGCTAATGAGAGAAACTCTGGTGCACTAGTTGCCTGAGCAAGCAGCACTCTTTGGTTCAGTGTTTTGCTTCTCAAGGCCAATGCTGGCATGAAACAGTGACTGGTGGTACTGGTGTGCCCCCAGCTGCCTCACCAGTGTGTTCCCAGTCAATAGTTCTCTCCTGATCTCATGCTGCAGCCAGCAAGATCTATGCAAATGATTTCTCTCTGCCCTGGCTCATCAGAGATCAATTCTTTTTTCCTAGAATAACAGGTAGTTAAGAAAAGTGATGATTACAAAGAAAGAGTAAAAACCTTCAAATCCATGGGCATTGCAGAGAAATTTACAGCTTTTTCTGAAGATGACATTCAGAATGTATGTAAGAATATTTTAATGACTATGATTATTATATTACTTTGACTTTATGTTGTGGTGGACAGCCCTTGTCCTTGTAGTTGCTTGTTCAACATCACAGTCTCCCCAGTGGGACTCAGTCATATTTTTTTCCCCAGTACTTGTTTTTTTTCCTTTGGCTGAGACAAGATTTAAATATTGTGGTATATAGGGTAGTTCTGTATCTTATTTTTATTTAACAAGTTACAAATATGTGGTGATTCTAATCTCATCCAGTCCGAAGACTTACATCTGGTAGGGTAGAAGAAGTGAAAGAAAACCCTTCAGAAATGACTGAAACCATTCAGTTACACGTCCTTTGGCTGTTTTATACATTTATCTGTAAAAGATTGGTATTAATGGGAAAAACTATCCATTTTTTTATCATTTAAACATTTACCATTGTGTATGTTGTCTGCTTTCTAATTTAAATTGTGTTTTGTGGGTCTCTGAGGGGGGTTCACACCTGGCTGTGGTGGGTGCCCCAGAATGGAGATGGGGTGGGTGGTTTGGGGCCGTGGAGGCTCCTGGGGACCTGCCTGGGGGACACAACCCTCTGGGACATGCTGCATCCCTTTGCTTTGTCATTCCCAGCGTGTTTGGGTTCGTGGTTTTGTTTTTTTTTACTTTCATTTCTTTCCACTCACTTTGTACTTTTTTTCTTTTATTAAATCTCACATGTATTTTGAGTTTTTGTGGTGTCATTTATTTGGTGGTGCATTTTCTGTGCTATCCAGTCATTATCTGTATTATCTGTCAAAATAATACTGTGTCATGATTGCAAATCTTACCAGTCACAGGCTGTCTTGTGACTATTGGGAACATTCAAAAATATAATTAGCTAATTAATTAACAACTAGCTAATCATAGAGTATGCAGAAATGCACCTCATCTGTAATCTGGGGAAAAATTCTAAGATATTAATTCCAAAGCCATCCCTGTTTGGGCAGGAGCCTTGAAGCTTGTTGGTACATCTGCTTTGTGGGGTCTGGTGGCTGAGCAGGTTCTACCAGCAGCTTTGCTGATGTGATGGTGGCAAAGAGGTGATTGAAGGGTAGGATGAGAAGGGAGCAGAGCTGGAGGGTTTCCAGGGGGCACTTCCAGAGCTGTGTCCTTTTCTGAAGAAGCACATCCTGTGCTTAGGGTGAGGCCAACAAAGGAGCACAGTGTTGGTCTGGGGTTCTGCCTTCAGAGAGAGCTGAAGCTTTACCCAAAGGCCTGTTCTCTGTTCTTGGGGTCAGTGCTACACACAAAGTTGTGTGCAGGTGGCTTTGGGCCCCCTGGGCTGTGTTTGATGCTGGACTGAGGTGGGTGCTGTGCTCAGACACGGCTGGCACGGGGAGCTGGGCTGAGGCAGCCTTTGCCCCAGTGCTGCTTCTCTGGGAGCTTGTTCTGCAGCCCCAGCTGAGGAACAAAACCAGATGGGTTTGCTGGGGCAGCAGCTCAGCAGCGAGGTGGGTGCTGCCCGTGTGTTACAGTCCCAGAGCCAAGGCCCTGGGATGTGCTGGTGCTTTCCCTCAGGACACAACCCAACCCCTGCCTGGTCTCCTTGTCCTCGGCTGCTCCGTGAGGACTGTGCAGCTGGGACGGATGGCTCCAGGCAAGGGGGCTGCAAAGCCACTGCCCCAGCTCTGTGTGCCCAGCTCTGTGTGCCCAGCTCTGTGTGCCCAGCTCTGTGTGCCCAGCTCTGTGTGGCTGGCAGTGCCTGCAGTCCTGGCCAGGCTGGGAACAGCTCCTCAGCTCTCCCATCCCAGCTCTCCATCCCGTGGGACTTCTCAGGTGTTCCATCAGCAGTCTTTCCTCAGGAAAACTTAAATCAATCCTCTGATTACCAGTTCCGAAGAAGATGTTGGCAGCTGGGAGAGCTTCTCCAAGTTCAGTGTCTGTGCCCAGCCCCAGCTACATTAGAGTGGGGCTTTGACCTTTCATACTGTCTTTACTCAATGTAAATAACTGAAACTTAAACACTGATTCTCTTTTGTTCTTTCTGTAGCTTCTTTAGTCTTCCCAGTGCCTACTCCATAACAACAGGAAGATATTAATTAGAAGATTTATTAAGGCCAAAACATCTCATGCAGAAGAAATTAATTGGTGCTTTCACCTTTAAGCTTGCAATACATTGCACAGAAGAGAATATGTAGCAAGGACTAAGATGCGCCGTGTCTTTTGACGGGGAACAGTTTGCTTGATCAGGTTTCTTGGTAAAGTTGAAATCCAAGATATTTGCCAAAAGGTAAACTGCTAATTCAGGCTGCTGCATGGCTGGCACTAAAACCAGAATGCTAATTTTGGAGTGACAGCCCCTCCAAAGCAGTTAACACTGACTGACTCCAGGGAGATGAGGGACAAAGCTGGGGTAGTGTGAGGGGCTTTTGGCTTTGCTGCTTGAGCTGCCACAGTAACAGGGTCCCACAGGTCCTCTCCTGTCTGGTTTTGGGGTGTAACTGGAGAACCTGATGTCCCTAACCTGACACCTATAGCCTGACTCCTTAATCTTTCAGCTTGATTCTCACCTATCATAGCAATAACTCCTCTGTGCAGCTTTCTTCTGTCTGCTTACAGATTTTGTAACCAAAACCCCCCAACCTCCCTCTGTTGAGTTTTCTGAGGGCAGCACGTGCTGTCTCACACTGGAACCCCTTTCCCAGAGCTCCCTGCCCACCTCCCACCTGCCTGGGCTCCACTCATCCCACTGGGACCAGATGGGTGAGAAGGGAACCCTTTTAAAGGACAACTAAATGTTACATATTAACGGAGGGGGGATGGTTTAAAGCTGGATCTCAGTGTTCCTGATGTGAGTTCTGTGTTTGTTACAGACTGACTTCCCCTTACACAAATACTTGTTTGAAAAAAAAGGAAGGGGGAAAAACAAAGTGTGATGTCTGTGCCTCAGTAACTTCACACAGGAACAGGGAGAGGCCCCAGTTTATCTTTGTTTTAAACAACCTTGTAAACGAATCTCAGGAATGACCTACTTGTACCAAAGCTGGGTTTAATAAAAACAAAACTGACTTGTTTAACAAACATCTGTTAAAACCATAGTTTGTATGCAGGTGTAACCACTGCAACAACAACGTGCTGTGGCCAGATTCACAACCCTCACGTGATCCCAGTGTCCCCCCATTAACCCTGCTGCCCTGTGACTGAAGTGAGATGTCCCCTGTGCACCCTCGTGTCGGGGCAGCTGCTGCCCCAGCCTCCTGCCCTTCCCCAGGCTGTTGCTGTCCCTGCTGTCCCTGGGGCTCAGGGGTGGGAGCAGCCCAAAGCCAGTCCTGAGCAGGAGGTTTGAAGGGAGCTCCCCCCTGTGCCCCTACCTCATGTTAGAGGGTGAGGCTGCAGTGGGGTGAGGAGCAGCAGGAACAGGGGTGGGTGAGTGTGGCAGGAGCCCCCTGGGCTACCAGGGCAGTTGTGTCTCTGTGACCAGGAGTTTGCCGAGGTGGAGAGGCTGGTGCACTGAGCCCTGTGCCCGGGGGGTGGTACTGACAGCTACTCAAACTCTGGAGGCCCTTGGCATAAATTAGAACTTGGAAATAAATCTCAGCTATCACAGCTCTGTGGCCTGAGGATGCCCAAGCTGGGCCCATGGAGAAGGTCTGGGGCCTCCTGACACTTGCAGGCAGGAGGGACAAACCCCCCTGACAAGCATGTTCCCCCCACGTTGCTCATCCCTGCCTGGCCCTGCTGCCATGGGCAGGGATGAGGCCCCACGTGTGCCAGGGGCAGTGGGACCGGGTGGGAAGCACCAGGCTCTGACCCAGCTGTGTCCTGGGGGCCGTGAACTCAGAGCTGCAGGTCCTCTTGGAGGGCTCTGTCTGTCTGCACATCTGTGGTGCCCTGCACAGAGCAGGGGGCAGCTGGAGCCCCATGTGATCTGAGCTGTGCCTCGAAACAGCCTTTGCTGCTGCTTTGATGACTGTTTTAAACTTGCCTGTGTTCTCTTTTGAGGCCAACCAGTCTAATTTCTTTGGCAGAGCTTTCATCCGGTTTGGAGCTATTGTCGAGTCAGATTCCAGCTGGGTAGGTGAATTGGGAATAAAAGCGTTTTGTTCTTTTTCCAAATTGCTCAGAAAGGTTGATTAAGTTCTGTTTGTCGTGGCTATGCTTCGGTCACAGTGGGGTTGCAGTTGCACACCTTGCTGAGGAGGAACAGGGGGAGCTCTGGGACCTGCCAGGAGTTAATGCCTCGCTCCATCTCAGTGCACCCTCTGCCTTTCTGCAGAATTGAACTGTAAGTACTGTTCAAATTGAATTTAACGCACTAAAGCCAATTAGGGGGAAAAACCCCCAACAACTGTATAGATGCAGCCCCAGAAATGAGGTATAACTATTGCATTACTCTTCCCTCTGCAGTTTTCTTGTCTCTGGATCAATTCTCTGACCACAGGGGTTTCTTTATTTGTGCAAATGTGTATATGAATTCTCCTAAGTCATCACACACTCCCTGTGAGTAGTGACACCAAGACTGGCTGCAGTGGGACAGCTCCACCCTCTCCTGTAGTGGTTCCTGGGTGTCTGAGCGGTGACACGGTTCCTTTTTGTGGGGTTTATGAGTGGGGGACGTTGTGGTGGATGGGGGAGCTCAGAATTGCTTTGTTTTTTCTGTGGGTGGTTTAAAACCCTTCTGTAGGTGCTCACCGTGGGGGATTTCAGATTTGCAGCTTTGTTTACAAGGTGGTGGCATCTGGAAGTCTGGCCTGAAGTGAGGCACCAGCAAGGGGAGTCTGGGTGAGGGTTAGGACTGAATATTCCCCAAAACAGCAAGATGAACAGCCACAAACACCACAGACACAAGTTGACTCCAGCTGCAGCTGAACCCCCGCTGTGGATCCCATTTGCTGCACTCCAGGTACTGCTGAGAACGTGCCAGGGGCAGCGAGTGCTGGCACAGCTCTGGTGTGGTTATGGCCAGTTCTGTGAGGACTGTTGTTTTGGGGACCTCGGGACCCTCATCTGGTCTAACCCAGCACTCCGAGTCCTGCTCCTGCAGCACCCTGGCCTGGGCAGAGCCCCCTCAGTGCAGCATTCACAGTCACAGCCTGCAGCAGCTTTGACTTGGCTTGTGGGAATTCCTGGGTTCCACTGCTGGTTCCAGTCATGTCTCTCCACACGTGTTGTTTGCACTGTCTCCAGCACTGGATGTTTCTGGAACACTTGGCACTCTCTTGGCAGTTGGAAGAGCAGTGTGGCTTTCTCCCTGCACACACACAGAGCTCTCTGTGTTCTCAGAGTGAGCTCTGGCAGATTTAACACTTCAGAAAGCCTGAACAGCTCTCAGCAATCAGTCCTGCAAGGCTGCTGGTCAGGAATTCCTCTCCTGCAAGGTAAGACAATGAGGAAGGGGAGGAAGGCCAGAAACTTTCTCCCTGCACTGATGAATTCTGCTGTTACACAGCATGAGGGTCTCCTTGGTCCTGTCCCATCCCTGTCCCCAAATTATTTGTCCCATGTCATTACATGAGACACCTGCCCAGTATTAGGCTGTGCCAGTCCATGTGGAACCCCTTCCCATTCTGTGACAGGGTTGCAGATGTGGTGGTATCCATCCTGTACTGGCTGGATTACACCTTCAAAGTACGGTAACAACTGCCTAAAAACACTGGCCCTATTATTTAAAACAAAACCAAAATCCCGTTTGTTTGAAAACAATGTGTGAAGCTGGTTTTTAAAAGTCTAAGAGAGGTTTAATCTGACCTTTGTGAAACTGCTTTGCTGTGAAGATTAGCAGTTAATAAGAAATAATGTGGTTGAGGGGAATTAATTAAAGGCATTTTGTATTGCCCAGTCTGCTAAGACAGAACAAATTTAAAAAACACTGACCAGCATGTGCTGGTTGGTGAGGGCCCAAGGCAATGGGGGTTGTGGACAAGGAGACATTTAATAAGGAACTGTGATTGGGTCTTTAATGGTTTAACCAGGAAGAAGCACAGACTCTAGACCCCTGGGTTCCAGGGTAAGGCCTTAGGAAAACTGGAGGTTTGACTGAGGCTTCTCACTGCTGACCCAAAACCTTGGTTCCACCCCAGAGCTGTTCCAGAGGCAGCAGTGGGGACTCCCTGTTCCTCGAGAGCAGCTCCTGCTCAGGCTCCCACGGGGTGAGCCAGATCAGCTCTAATGAGAGAACAATGGTGTGAGCTGGATGAAAGGCTCCATCTGTCAAACTTCATCATGGCTATTTTAAAAATAAACGGAGGCATTTGGTTCTCCCTGCAGTGTGTAGCTGCCTGCCAGCTGGAACTCTGAGTTGAAGGATTGTGACTGAGTCCCTCCTCTCCCCAGCTTGTTGTATCTAATGACATTAAAACTGAGGGGAACACACACTGCTTAGGAGGGACATAAAAATAGACAGGTAATACCAACTGTCTTTATCCTCTGAGAAGCACAGTGATGCTTTTTCCCTGTTGTTTTGGCTGCTCTCTTTGCTGGGTCCTGCCAAGGCAGTAGTTCTTCACTAGAGCCTGTGGGGTGGCTGTAAGGGAGGCCATGGGCAGCTAAGGGCACGAGCCACCCATGCCTCCCATCCCCACTGGGCAGGGGGGGCCATCCCAGCACTCATCAGTCTCCATGGCTTCATCAGGAATTCGGGATTAGTAGGTGGGAAAGGTGCTGAAACAGCCTGGCTTACAGTGACCCTCAACCTCCCCTGATGGGAATTCTTCCAGGCAGAAGGGTGGTGGCAGGGCAGCCTTGCCTTGGGATGGCCCTGGACAGCTTGGCTGATGGGACAGAAAACACGAACAGCACTGGTGGCTGCAGGCACGTTAGCTCTTGATCCACAGGCTCTTTCTGGATGAATTCAGCACTGTTCACCTGTAAGGAAAGATGCAGATTTTTGTAAGTTCAGGATAAATTACTTCCTTGTCTGGCCACTGCTGCTGTCACTGTAATCAGGGGGAGGGCAGGGGCAGGCTGGATGCCCCAGTAAAGGCATAGCAGCAATATGCTGTTGGTCCTGATGCAAAACACTTAACCAGGAATTACCACACAGAAGGTGGGCAAGTGCTCCCTCTCTTGAGGAGACAACAGGCAGGAGGGACAGGACAGCAGGAGGCCAGGTTATTTCACACAAATTCTAGACCACAAAATGGGTGGACAGTAAGCTGACAGTGCTCTCTTTTTTTATGTGTTTTATAAAACTGGGGGAAAGCTGTAGAAAAAAATCCATGAAAAAATGGATCTTGCCTTTGGTCATTAGAAGTCAAACTGATTATATTTTACAAGCAGTGTCTGTGCTTAGTCTGTACTTTTTGCAGTGTTCAGTGGGAGGCTGGGGACACTGGGCAGGTTTCTAGGTGCTCTCAGACTCTCTCATCATGGAAGAATCTCTCCTGGCTCAGGATCTGTGGCCAAGAATTTGGAAACCTCCCTTCTCTGCCAAAGGGCTGTCCCTCTCCCCAGTCCCACCCCTGAGTTGCAGTTTTGTTCCCTTTTGTTAGCACCAGCAGGGTCTGCAGCAAAGGCAGAACACAGGCACGAGTCTCAGGAGCTGCTGAAGTGCAGTGCAGGCTGTTAATACACGCACCTTTATTCATTTACTGTGTCCTGCCCTCAGCATTTGTGACCAAAGGCCATTTTGCTTCCTACCTGTGCTTTTTTAGCAGGTCAGTAGTAACACAAAGCCAGCCAGGAATCTGCCTCTCCAGCTCCAAGGTGATGATCACCAAGACCAGCGTGGAGCCCCTGAACTGCACGAGCTGGTGGGAGGCCATCCAGTGCTGCAGCTGCCTGGTGAAGAGCGCGACGTGGAGGGAAGGATTCCTCTGAGGCAGCTGGGGGGAGATGGAGCCAGCAGGACATCACATGGCATGGGACTGGAGAGAAGAGAGAGTGTACATATATATATATATATGAATATATATACAAAGAAAAGCAGAGGTCAGTGAAGTTGATATGTTTTCATATGTCATCACCCAGAAGTACAGATGAATTTCATCTCATAGCAGGAAACCCGAAGGCTTCCCCCACCTTTTTCTTTGTGTTTTGTGTTTGTACTTGCCAATCATTGAACTGATAATGAATGTACAGGGTCTGTGTTTCCTAACAATCTCTGAAGTTTCTACGTTATCCAGATTGCTGCCCAGGAGATTCAGTTCAGGCCAGCAGCTCCAAATCCAGCAAAACCAGTAATTCCAACTGCACTCTGAATTTCCCGAGGAAACAAGCACCTGCAAAAGGCAGTTTTCACAATCAGCAGCCTCTAATGGCTCGATATTTGCACATAACCTTAAAAAAGGGATCCAGGATGTGTTTGTATCACATGAATTTTGCCTTACCAGCACATGACCATTTCTTGAAGATAAAGTTTAATTGTTTCTATCAAATATTCAGTAACTGCAATGTGAACTAAGTGCCAGATCGGAGTAGTCTCATTGCATAAATGAATAATTAGTGGGATGAAAAGGAAAATGATTTAAGGAAAAACCTGTGTGTGAAATGTAGCAAAACTCTGACAGCTTTCTATGTACAGTATTAATAGAAGGGAAATAGTTAGAAATATTTTTGCAGCGTGTATTTAAAAAAATAAAAATGGCATAGAGTTGTGCATTATGAGAATCTTTTTAATGTCCATTTTAGTTGTCCTTTAAAGACAGGAGTAAATTTTTTTCAGCAAAAAGAAAGGTTTTAAATAGTAGAAAATTTTAAAAATTAATTTTAAAAGAAAATTACTGCAATATTCTTTAAAAGACTTGCAGATAGGTAGGAACAGGTAGTTTGCAGAGCATCTTGGGAAGGATGTGTGTGTGTGTGTGTGTGTGTGTGTGTGTGTGTGTGCATCTGTGTTTTCTAGTCTTATTTGATAAGGAGTTGTTTCTTTAAAGAAAAAAGTTGCAAAACATAGTGCTTACAGTGTTTAAGAAATCCATTGGTGTTGCTGTGTAAAGATCCTACTGAAGCTCATCCAGGATAATTCTTTCCATTCTCAAGATCTCGGCTGGAGAGCATTTACAGCTGCTCTGCACCACCAGTGTCTGCACCAATGGGATTACCTGTGAAAAAATTTAAAAATTTAAAAAAATAAAGAAGCCAACGTCCTACACAGTGCTGTGTGTGCTTCTCTGTGTGGTGAGGGGATCTGACAAGGTTAAACACTTCTGTGGGAAGCAGAATGCTCATCCAGGAGCCCTTGTTACTTGGGGTAAACAAGTTAATGCTTCTTCATTATGCCCAAGTTGTTGAAAGACCTGGAAACATGAACAACTTTTAGTGTGTTGCAAATGAAACATGCAGACCTCATCCTCTCCACTGGTTTGTGCTGCAAGGACAAGAAATTGCAATGCACTGCAGATATTTTAATTGGGCCTGAAGGGAGAAGAAGAAAACACTGAATAAAGAAGATAAGAGTCTTGGGGGAAATAATTGCATTCTGTGACACGTGCACAAGTTTCAAACTTTCATTTGATTTCAGTTGCTTCTGAATTAGTTTAGCTACAGAATCTGGAAATAGAACAAGGAAATTCAAAAGTGAAGCAGAATAAATCCTCTTATTGGTTCAACCTTTATTCCTGTATCCCACAATTCTTAGACTATGCAATGCCACATTATTTACAATGCAATGTTACTCCTCTTCTCACCTCAGATACTGGTTCAGATTGGACTTCGGGAAGAATTTCTTCATGGAAGGGGTGGTAAGCCCAGGGAGGTGTTGGAGTCACCATCCCTGGAGGTGTTGGCTGAATGGCTGGATGTGCCACTCAGTGCTCTGGTTTAGTTGACAAGGTGGCAATTGGTCAAAGGTTGGACTTGATGATCTTGGAGGCCTCCTCCAACCTTAATGATTCTGTGATTCTACATGCCAGCATCAGTCTAAATGGAATTGAGAGCTGCAAGGCTCAGCTCAACTCCTAACTTTGCTGTTGCTCCAGTGGCAGAAAATGTCAGCCTCATAGTTTGGTTAAAAATTGTAGTTTCAAAACTAAAATATGAAAAGCAATAACATGAATGCTTTGTGTTTAGCAGAGACAACCAGATGATAATGAGTTCTTTGGACTTATCACAGCATTTGGACTCAGTTCACACAAACACTCCTAACGAGGACTGTGCATCAGTGGAACCTCATCAAACACTCAAGTTCATACATGTTTGTATGTGTGTGCTTAAAGGCCTTCCCCAGCAACGACCCTGACTGCTCCCTAAATCTGCTGCCAGACATAGTCCCTGCTTTGTGTGTAAACTGATTACGTGCTCCTTACATTCCCAGGCAATAATCTGGCCAGGGAAAAGCTGAGAGATCTCTGCCTTCACTGATGCCAACAGCCTGTTGAAGATGCTGGGCAAACATTTCAGGGTAAAACTGGAACTTGGAGCTTATTTCTGCAATCCAGAGAACTGCTTTCTTGTAACTCAACAGAGAGATATCTGTGCCCTGAGGGGGAGGAAAAGTTAGAAGAAAAATGTGGTTAGTGCTTTGATGATTTTGTTAACCTATCTCCAAAGGAAGACTCAAATCTTGTTAAGTGCTCTAATTAGCATTTTGGATGTCTGGAGGCTGGAAATGAAGGGAGTTGTCGGCTGTGTCTGCAGAGGGAGGGCGAGGGGACCTTTCGGTGCTGTTTAAACCACTGGTTTGTGTTGCTCACCCAGTCGTGCCCAGCTGGGTGACCCAGGCCTGGTACTGGGTTGTACTGGAGTACTGACTGGGGAAGCACCCAGCCCTCCCAAAACGAGCTCTTACAAACAAGGTGCTGAGCGTGCTTGTTATTCCCACCCTGGGAAAACTGAAGCCTCGATACAGCACCTGTTCCACTCAGGCAGCCTCGACAGAGAAACTGGGCTCAGGAGCAGGTTTTGATTTACTCTGCAAGAGTTTTAGCAGCCCTTGAGTTTGCTGAGCATTGGGACCACAGAGCCAGGTTTGTGACTCCCCCGAGGCACCTGGAAAAATGTACTGGGTTTTTTCTTTCTTATATCTTATTTGAAGCTGCTTTGAGGTGAGAAGAAGGCCTCTGGCTGCCATGACAATGCACACAGGACCCATGGCACACACCTGAACATTATTGTAGGAGAACTGAAAGGGCCAAGCAGCTACACAGAACAGACAACATCAACCACCAACTGGTTTAATAGTAGTCATCACATTACCTTAATTTGCTTAATCTGGTAGTAAAAATACTTCCTAAAAAGTAGCATTTCTAGACTATTGCAAAAAAGAGACAAGGCTGGCAGGGCATTTCTGTGCATATTTCCATGGTTCTGATGCACTTACAGAAGCAGCTGAGCAAAACTGTTTCCACTGTACACAGAGGCCAAGGATTGTTGTATCTTCCTATGGCAGCATCTTGGAATAGGGCTGGGTTTCTGTTAGGCCTCAATGAATTCCCTCTTCTCCCACCTTAACAGATGGAACTCACAAATAGTGTAGAGCACAATTAACTCTAATGAGCCAAATTTATGATTTAACCATTGATGGGCTGCTCCTACCCACTCCACCACATTTCCCAAAACTACCTGAGTCAGAACAAAATGCAAAGCCTCTGCATTTTATTAATAAGATGTAAGATTAATAAGGCATTAATAAGATGTAAGATGTGACCAGTACAGACCCTCCTCCTCCTCCATTCCTTAAGCCTGGTCCATGTGGGATGACTTTGCATTCAGGGGTCAGATGGCAGGACCAGCAGTGCATCTCTGCAGAGCTCCTGTAGGGAATCCTAAAGGGGACAGGGGAGGATACCTTCAGGGTGAGATTCTGGAAAACTGGCACCTTCCAAATCCTAGCTTCTCTGGCTAAGGCATTTTCCAGGAAGAAGGCAAGTTGCAAGCTCTCTGTAGGTTCAGGGCACTTCATAGCAGTTCTTTGGGCCACTTTCCCTGATGGGAGCTACTGTCAAAACCAAGAAAAGAATTATAAACAACATCCCAGCTGCTTGTACTAAGTATGATTTCCTTTTCTGATGCCTTTCCAGCACTGAGAACTGAGGAGCAGCCATAGGACTTGTTTGTTTGCAGACAGAGCAATCCTGACATCCATTTTCCCTGGAAGTTTGTGATGACAGAAAACACATCAGATGGGTCAACAGCAGCAGTTCAGCTTTTTCCCTCCTGGGCTGTGTAAAGGCTTGAGGAACCCTGGGTCGAGCAGTCCAGATGAATCCATTTATCCTGTTTCACACATTCAGCTCTCCATTTGCAGAGCTATTAAATCTCAACGTGATTTCAAGTTTCTGTCGAAGAGAGGTTTATTGTTTCCATATAAAAGCTCAAAGACAACTGTTCTTAGGAGGTTTATGAATTCCCAGTTAAAAGTTTTCCTCAGAGCAGTTAATCTTTGGAGATACCACTTTGGAAATCCTGGTCTCCAGCCTAAGCCAATATTTACAGGAAATAAACATCTCTGAATCATATCAGGTAAGAACCAAGCAATGAGAACATCTCAGCCTGAAACTATTTCAAGTGTTTATTCAAGACACTATTTTGGTGTCTCTTTAATATCAGAAAAAGTATGTTACTTGGTATAAAATTTCTGCTTTTCTTTCCAAAGAGTGGTGGATGTGGGCTTCCTCATCAGTGTTTCCTGGGAACTCACACCATTGTCTCTGCAGCCTCATTAAAAACGCCAAGTTCCATGAACCCTCTGGAGACCACTGTAAGCTGGAACTCTGCATTGTTCCCCTGAAAGCAGGTACCACACATGACTTTGGCTTCGGCTGCATCCAAACCTGGCTGCCCAGGGAGAGCTGGAAACAATTTATCTGAGCGGTTCCACGCACAGAGAACTTTAATCCTCTGCAGTTGGGAGGGGGAAACAATAATTAGTCTCACCCTCTGGCTAATTTCGACTGTCCCTGAGAAGGACAGCGAGCAGCTCCTGCAGTGCCTGGACAGCCCATCCGCCCCACGGGCCATCTCTCTGCAGGCACTGCTGGAAGCCTCAGCTGGGAGCTTCGATGCCCATCTTGGGAAAACGCAGCCCTGCATCACCAACCTCCACTCTCCGGGTCCACACCGCGCTTCCCAGCCCAGGCAGGTCCGTCTCACCCGCACAGGGTCTCCCTGTTCTCTCCCCAGCCCCTTGGGTTATGCACTTTCTGGTGTGAAACGACTGTCTTAGTCCGTGAGTCTCAGCATTCAGCACAGCTCTGGGCAGCACCGGGGCAGTGAATAAACTGCAAAGTGACTGTTTGAACACCTGGTCCTCGTACCTCCTGACTCACCTGGTGACACTCCCTGGGGTGAGGGAATGGCCCTGTCAGTCATTCCGGCCCTGTGACACACCGGTCAGTTTGGTGGAGCAGTTCTGGAAGCCCCAGATCAATCCTGTCCACATTCCTGCTCCCGCCTACATCCCTCTGGCAAAAACACAGCACAGCTCACACACAGCCCTTGGTTTGTGCCTGTGCTTGGTGCTCCATGCTGGGCATTCCTGGCCTTGCCCCGGGGTCCCAGGCCCTGGTTGTCCATAGCCAAGGCAGAGAGGGCAGGAGTGGGACTGGAACAAGGCCCTGTGCAGAAACACCTGGGGGGAGCGAGACAGGTAGGATTGAGGAGCCAGGGAAACTATTCATGGACCTTTCCTGTTGCACAAAATGATGTCTTTGACTCTTAGTGACGTATTATGAAAGGAAAAAGCCAGGTTGTCAGAATAACTTAGTCTAGCTCCTGTAAATGTACAGCACGTGCACAGTGGGATGTGGACATGCAGCGGGGTGAGTAGAACAGCAGGTGTGGAGGATCCCAGCAGCATCCCGTGAGGATTTACACTAAATGGCAGATAACCTGGACATGTGCCTCTTCTATGCACGGGGCTAATTGATTTCTGTGCCACTTGGTCTGTATTGTTTATATTTAAGGCACTCTGCATTCCCTCTATCTCAGGAGTAATTCAGAACGTTCCAGTCAGGAACAGGAGGAGATGGATTTTCTGTGTGGAGAACAGGCTGGAGCTGCAGCCCCGTTAGAGCCCCAGAAACCCGTCAGAGCCCAGTCAGAGCCTGTGAACTCCAACCAGAGCGCTCAGAGCCCGGTCAGCCCCCCCGGACCCCGATCATCCCCCTCACAGCCCGGTCAGCCCCCCCGGACCCCGATCATCCCCCTCACAGCCCGGTCAGCCCCCCCGGACCCCGATCATCCCCCTCACAGCCCGGGCGGTGTCCAGGCCCGCCTCTCCACCCCGCCGTTCCCATGGCGACAGGACGCTCCGCCCGCCCCCGCCGCTCCGGCCCCGTCATTGGCTGGGCCCGCTCCGGCCCCGCCTCCTCTGGCCGGCCATTGGCGGTGGGGCCCCCGCAGCGCGCGCGGATTGGGCGCGGGGCGGGGCGGCGCAGGCGCGGTGCCGTTATTGTTCCGCGGTGCCGCCGCCCGGGCGGTGCTGCCCCCGCCGCCATCGCCATCATGCCGGTGAGCCGGGGGGGTGCGGGAGATGGGATACGGGACACACACACTGCGGTCCCGCGGCTGCTGCGCACCTCGGCCCGCCGCGGGCAGGAGCCGCTGCGCCCGGCGTGGGCTCGCAGGCCCCGCCGCTCCCGTGCGGGCGCCTGTCAGGCCGAGCGGGCCGGGGGCGGTGAGGGGCTGCGGGGGGGGCGAGGTCCCGTGGCAGCGGGGACTGGAGGGTTCTGCCTCTCCGGAGGGTCTCGCCCCCATCTCGGCGGGCTCGTGGCGGCTCCCGAATCCCGCCCCTGGGTTTTGGCCGCACGTCGTGTGCGGTCCCTGCCCCGCCTGGGTGGGGCTGAGCCGCTCCCCGCGTTCGGCAGCAGCCTCTGCTGAGGCCTGAGGGGGAGCCGGGCAGGGGGGAGAGGCTTTTGTTTTCTGTTGACATCCAGCAACACTGCTCTAGCAGGAGCTATCTGCTCAGCCGCAGCACCTCGCGCCGAGAGGAGTGTCTGAGGCTTAACTAGAGCAAATGGGCTTTAGGTTTATTTAATCAGGAGAGCATGTGACAGCAGATTCATCAGCCGCGCTTCAAGATTTGTTTTGGTAACTGCGTGAAAGAAAAGGTTTGTGAGGTTTTATAATGCAAGGTTCGGATTTTCTAAACGATTACATTTCAGCAAGTACACTGAGGGTTGTAAGTGAAATGAATTCCCTTCAGCAGTGCTCCCTGCTCAAACCTTTGTGAGGTTTGAGAGTGTGGTCAGTATTAATGTGAAAGAATGTCATGGCTGCACACAGTTCCAGCAAACTGCTTGCAGGTTGCTTGCAAGCATTAAAGTGTTTCCTGAAAAGACTCTTAGACCACGTTGAATATGAAATGCTCAAGGATTACTCATTGAGTTTCCCTGTTGGCAAACGAACAGGTTGCAGTGAGTGATTAAATGTGTGTTATTCTCTCAGCTTTAATTATAAACCAGTTCAGGTTTTAACTCCCCAAGTTCACGATCCTGTAGAGATGCGTGCAGCTGCTTGAGCTGATTCAACAGCATTTGTGCTTAAACACACAGTGGTTTCATCCTGACAGAGGGCAGGGTTAGATGAGATACTGGGAAGGAATTGTTCTCTGTGAGAGTAGTGAGGCCCTGGCACAGGTTGCCCAGAGAAGCTGTGGCTGCCCCATCCCTGGAAGTGTCCAAGGCCAGGGTGGACGGGGCTTGGAGCAACCTGGGCTGGTGGAAGGTGTCCCTGCCCATGGCAGGGGGTGCAATGGGTTATCTTTAAGGTCCCTTTCAACCCAAACTGTTCTATGATTCTGTGTTCACGCTAGCATTACCACCTGTGTGTTTTTTGGTTTTCAAACACTTGCAGATCAACAAGCCTGAGAAGCTGGACAGGCCTGAGAGCTGTGACAATGTCAAGGTGGTGGTTCGGTGCCGGCCCCTCAACGACCGCGAGAAAGCCACGGGCTACAAAATGGCTGTGAACGTGGATGAGATGAGAGGGACCATAACTGTGCATAAAACAGACTCCTCTAACGAGCCTCCCAAGACATTTACATTTGACACAGTGTTTGGACCAGAGAGTAAACAGCTGGATGTCTATAATTTAACTGCAAGACCTATCATTGACTCTGTCCTAGAGGGATACAATGGTAAGTCCTGTGTTTTAAGTGAAGGATCCCAACCCATCTCCTATTCTTTGCCTTGTTGGAGTTCCAGCTGATCTTGTTTAAGGGAGTTTCACCTTCTGAGGGCTGTGGCCCTGTGTTGTCTCTGTTGTGGCTGTGAACTTAAAATAGCCTGGAGGTACTTGCTGTTCTGAGTGCTCAGTGGTTGTACCCACAGTGATCATTAACACTGGGAGACTGGTGATGAACAAGATTCAGCTGAGGTCAGTTAGCTCTGTGTTTTTGTCCTGTATCTTCTCTTTGCAAAAATCTGCGCTTTATCTTATTGTCAGAGTTCTCAGTGGCTCTTCCCTGTCCAGTGTCAGCACCCAGGCAGCTGCCATGGCTCTGCAGCACTAGGTATGCACACAGACCTCTGCAGAGAACTGCTGCACTCTTAACTCTGAACTTGGCTGTTTTGAACTAAGATGACTACTTAAGCACATCTAGCCTACCTCACAGACAGTCCATTGCTTCCTGCAGCTGGGAAGAGTATGGCCATGATTTGTGTGTGTCTGTTATGCATGGAAATGTATTATATAAAGGAAAGCAGATATATAACATGCCTTCTGTAACAGTGTGCTACAAACAACAGCAGTTTACAAAATTTTTCAGCGTTTGTAAAATGCCTGATAAGCTCTTGTGCTAACACACATGGGTTTCAGCTGATTAAAATTTGGGGTTCAAAAATGGATGGTTCAGAGCTGTACTGGAGGGGGTTTAGGCTGGACATTGGGAGGCATTTCTTTACTGAGACACTGGAACAGGCTTCCTAGAGAGGTGGTCAATGCCCCAAGCCTGTCAGTGTTTGAGACATTTTGACAGTGCCCTTAACAACAAGCTTAATTTTTGGTCAGCCCTGAATTGGTTGGGCAGTTGGACTAGGGGATCATTGTAGGTCCCTTCCACCCAAAATATTCTTTTCAGTTTTCCAGTCTGTAATGGCTTGACAATGAAAGCTTGAGCTTTCAGTGGTGCTAGGCTAAAACTAAGAACTGTTATATTTCTGGAGTTCCAGAGTCAGGGGTCTCAGTGACATTTCTGGATGTCTTTCTGTGAAGGCTGATTCTCTAGTCCAAACTGTAGCTGCACCTGCAGGTTCAGAGCTGGGCTTGTGCTGTGGCTGTGCTGGAGAACCCTCACACCCTTTCTGCTGTGGCTTAGAACAGTAGTTGGGTTTGCAGTTGGTGCATAATCATCTTCTGCTAATTGACCACATTATTAATTGGGCTTGCCTGCATTCTTTGTATGTGGAACCTAAGTGTACTAGTACTCCAGATTTTAATCACTCTGCACAATTAAAACCAGCTGACTTTTTATTAGGCATCTTGCAGGCTGGATTGAACAGTGGCTCAGCCCCGTTTGCTGTGTTTGCCCAGCATTTCTGTTGCCCCAGCCTTGTACAGTAGCTACTGGAGTGGGTGGAAGATTTCAGCTCCATAACAATAGAGGTGTTTAGTGCTATCAGGCTAAGAAGGGTTGAGATAAAACTGCAGTTACCAATTTCTTAGAGTTTGCTCATTTATCTTGTCCCCCAGGTACTATTTTTGCATATGGGCAGACTGGAACAGGCAAAACTTTCACCATGGAAGGGGTCCGAGCAGTTCCTGAGCTCAGAGGCATCATTCCCAATTCCTTTGCTCATATATTTGGTCACATTGCCAAGGCAGAGGGGGACACAAGGTAAACAGCTTCTCTTCACTGCTTCTGTCTTTTCTGTGTGTGTCCATGTGTAGCAGGAGCCTGACCTTGACAATGATAACTGAAATGGTACCTCTGACCTGAGCTGAAAGGCTCCTACTGAGGCAGTTCTTGAGGGGGCAGCAAGATTGTGTTGATATTTCACTGCATTTTCACTCTGTGATTGTGTTTGTGGGACATGAGCAAATTCTCACTAAACAAACTGTTCATGTTCAGGTTCTTGGTTCGTGTCTCTTACCTGGAGATTTACAACGAGGAAGTGCGGGACCTGCTGGGAAAGGACCAGACACAGAGGTTAGAGGTGAGCCTGCTCTTCTCAAAGTGATGTTTGCTTGGACTCAGAGAGCAGTGTTCTGCTTTTGAGACCAGAGCAGCACTTGAAGGGAAGTGGGAGGTTGGGCTCCTCAGCAGTCCTCTTTCCTTGCAGACAGAGTAGCTGGCTATCACTCCTGGCTTCTCTGAATCCCTTCCACCTGGCCAGCTGCGCAGTGAGAACCTGGCTGTTCCATCCAGTCACTTTTGTACCTGCAGTGCTACCCCACAGGCCCCTCAGCAGTTCTAGGAATTGGAGAGTGAGACTTGAAGTCATGTCTTGCCCCCAGGGGAAAACTGTGGAATGTTGTTATGCATGAGTGTTGATTCCTTATCTGCTCCGAGTGTTTTATGTGCAAACCAGAACCTGGAGGGGTGAATCACTGCACTGTTACAGTACCACTGAGAACTGCTGCTGGGGGTCTCTTAGGGATGCTCAGTCTGAACTGTTTCTCTCTTAGGTTAAAGAGAGACCTGATGTGGGAGTTTATATCAAAGACCTCTCAGCTTATGTCGTAAACAATGCAGATGATATGGACAGAATCATGACTCTGGGCCACAAGAACCGTACGTAGCCTTGCTGGGGGCAGGTTAAAGCTCAGACAGAGCAAAGGGCTGCTTACAGAGCACAGGGAGAGACCCTGGTCCTGTTGCTGGGAAGGTTGTTCAACTGAGCAGAATAGAAAGGTTATCTTGTCCCAAACCCCTTTTGTGTAGGGGCAGGTGAAGAAGGCTGTGCCTCCCACACTGGGCAGTGCCAGCAGGGGATCAGCAAAGGCAGGATGCAGTGAGGGCAGTCAGTGTTGTCAGAACTGCTACTGTGTCTCTTGGTCCTTTTCCCTCTTCAGTTCTGATCAGGATAAAGCATTAGCCCTGTGCTGTGAGTGGGAGGTGGTTTATGTGTTCTGCAAGACTTCTTTGTTAAGCTCAGATTATTTAATGACTTAAAGTTCTGACTACTGTTGCTCTTGGCATGGATTCCTGTGCTCTTATTTTTGAAA